CTGGAGGGACTATGTCTCTCGGCTGGCCTGGGAACGTCTGAGGATTCCTCTGGAGGAGCTGGAAGAGGCTGGAGAGAGAGAAGTCTGGGCCTCCCTTCTGAAGCTGCTGCCTCCGCGACCCGACCCCGGATAAGCGGCAGAAAATGGATGGATGGATGGAATAAAACATTTGAATGATACAAAAAGTAAATACCTTGTGAAGTTTGTTTGGGTAATGAAAACATTTATGGACAAAACAAAATGTTGTATCTTGTAAATGTCAATGTTAACAAATTAGAATAACATCAAAAAGTTAATTTAAATGTTGGAACTCAAATATCACTCTACCAGAGAAATGGTGATTTATTGAGCTGTTAGGCTCAAGCTTCAATATTAACCAAAAATAAATACTCTAAATATACCACTCAGTATGACATAAGTCTGTTTTCAAAATTTATTTTTCACTTTTTGATGGCATTTTAAGTTAAATGAGATGATCCTGTATCATTATTTTACATTCAACTAAAGATATTGACAAGCTGGGATTATATATGTGCAAGTCTTTGCTACCAATGTTTCTCTGTCAACACAAATCTGAAATGCAGAGATCGTTCCAGACAATGCTGTGCAGAAAACAACCCGGAGGCGCTGGCCAGATACAGCCGTGTTAGGTTTTAAGAGACCAGATGTGATTACTTGCGGCGTATTAAAGTTAAAAGCTATCTGAGCATTTTTTCTGCAAAGACAATCAGCAATATCTGTCTCACAACCTGCAGGGTCATGCTGGTGATCAAGTGTCAAAGTCATAAAAATCCAGAAAAATCTAAAACTTTATTGTAAGCTTTTTTTATTATTTTCAGGTTTACAAATAATTGCTTAAATTGGAGACAAAGTTATTCAGACCCCTGATGTCAATACTTTCTGCTTTTACTAATACAACATATTAGGACGATCCAGAGTTTCAGATCCTTTTGTTGTTTTCACCAGAGCGTTTCTGATTTAGTTTTTTTTATCTGTTAAGACATTTCTGTATTGATTAGGTGATATGTTTTGTATCAGATCTGAGGTCATAAGATCATAAAAATGTCCTAATATTCAGGACCTAGCACAGTTTAATGAGCTCCATATATTTTTTATCTTTGTGATTGAAGAAATGAAAATATATTTTTCTAGAATGCCTCCCAAACAAATCGTGACATAAAAAACATCTAAAGGCTGATAAACTTAAAGAAGTTAATAAGTATGAAAGCATTTTCATTTGGGTTCTGGGTTGGGTTTTTGGGTTCAACAAAAACATTTTACTTTTGATGTTGCAGGAATAAGTTATACATTTATTGCTTTGTTGAGGGGAGGCAATAAGTGTTGCACAAAACTGTGCTAATTTTTAACATGGCACTTTCTTCCAATTGGTAAATCTAGACAACAAATATAAGGCTTGGAACAGGTGTGGAAAACACAATTATAAACATTACTTTCACAGAAACAATTATTTGAAGCTAAGAAGCAAATGGATTCAGTCATAATTTAGTGAGATTTAAAACTGAAGCCAATGTAGAACATAAATCTGATTGACATTACAATAATGAAGGTTTTGTTGATTTATGGTCTAGAAAAGCTAAGCAGAGAATGAAAAGTATTTTATTTTTGTTGCTAGAGGACAGATGTGGGAAGCAAAGTAATAAACATTGAAATTCACCCAATGGAGACTAACATAAACAAAACATTTATTAGCGATTGTCAGTCATTCTGCTCTGAGTCACGTATGCAGCTTGTATTTATTTCAGTAATTTAAATATTATTTTAAAACTATGATGTAAATTCATCAAACAATGACTGATAAATGTTTATTTTTGCACGTTTTGCACAGCTAAATAAAACTCAATATTTACGTTCTCTGAAAATCATAATATTTCATGAGACCAATTTAAAAAATGACTTCCTATTCAGGAATTCTGTAATTACCGTATTGTCTTCACAGTTAGTGAGACTATCCATAAGGAGCATATGCCACTGGAGAAGCCCGATTGTCACAAGTTGCTAGATTAAAATAAATCAACGGAAAGTTTGGTTGAAGGAAAAAATGTGGTAAAATAGAAGATTGTCAAGCAGCTCTTTCAAGAGTTTGGAGCAGATCAAGAACATGTACATCCTTATCAAGAGTCAATGTGAGATGCAACAGATTGTTGTTTAGTGGTGCAAAGACCCCTTCTCAGATAAGAGTACATTTTTGATTTCATTTGGAAATTTAGGTCATGCTGGAAATCCAGCATGAAGTCAGTTTTCATTGGTCTTTTGTAATATTCAGATTTATGAGAAACAGAATTTTTGGTTTTTATTATCTGTGTGAAAATTAACACAAATAAACACTTAAAATGCATCAGTCTGGGTACAAATTTCACTTTTCAACTCTTTCATCATATTTCAATTTACTGAAATATACTTGTATACATTGGATCTAAACTCTCTTTATTCTTTCAAGCCAGCATGAAGAGTCCTTCACTGCTTCGTTCACAGCTCATCCAGTCAGTCTGATGAAGAGTTCATCAGCAGGAGGTGAAGTGAAGCTCAGACAAAAGAGCTGAAAAAGCTTCGACCAGCAGCTGCAATGCTGCTGGAAACGTTCCATCAAATGTTTTTCATTCATGCCTTTATTAAGGTCCTGTGAGTTAACCAAAAAAAAACAGTAATTATGGGAAAATATTTACACAACATATCAAAAAGGCATGACCTACAAGAAAATGTTAAAATAATGCAAAATCTAATATATTTCAGAATTTCATAAATATGTGCTTAACACTTGGCAGATTTTGTTTCTCATATAACAAGAGAATAAAGTCTTTAAGGACGCAGCCTTTGATTTAGAGGCAATGTTTAGAGATCCTGGATGTAAATATCAGAACATGCGCTCCTGTTCGACAGCTCAGTGGAAAACATTGGACAACAACAGACAGGCTTTACTGAGCCACCAAGGTTCTAGATATAGAAGTAATGATCACCAGCGTCTCTGCTTTCTGCATTTTTGCGCAGCTGATTGTTTATGGAGTCTGACAGCGATCCCAGAGAGAGTTCCAGCACCGGGCTCGACTCAGGACTCTGAGTTTCCTGCGGGATCTCCAGGAGAACATCAGACGGCTCCGCGTCGACGAGCTGCTCACCGTCGCTCAGGCTCAGTCTGTACGCGCCCTCCGTCTCTGCAGCCGCTGTTTCCGTGGCAACGGTTTCCAAGGCGACGTCCTCAGCAGGCGTGTCCCGCACCGGAGCGACGTCCTCGCCGCCCTCCGCCGGAGCGACGTCCTCGCCGCCCTCTGCCGGAGCGATGTCCCTGCTGTCTGCCGCTGCAGCGACGTCCTCGCCGCCCTCCGCCCGAGCAACGTTCCTGCCGCCTGCCGCCGAGGCCAGCTTCTCGATTTCTGAAACCAGCTCCTCGTTCTGATCCTTCCACCACCGGTACTTGGACGCAGTCAGGTCCGAGTCGTCCAGGAGCTTGTTGATCTGCAGCAACTCGGCTTCTTTCGCCTGCGGAGGAAAGTGGCTTTAGTTTTCATGCAGCTCTGAGCCGAAATGCAAACATGCCTGCGAGAAACAGGTAGAAGTTTCTCCACCTCAAGCTCAGTAGAACGGAGGTGAATCCTTCTGAGCTCTGGTTTTTAACGTTAAAGTGTAAAAATGTCCAGATCCCCAACACACCTGGTCAATTTACCACTTCCATTGTCGTTACCTTTAGAATTAAGAAGCCTCACATCACCAAACAGTTTCAGAAAATCATTTGGGCGATAGCTTCTAAATAATCAAAACTGCATTCATATTTTTAATTAACATCTTTGAATAAACACATTTGTTTTTATGACTGTGATTTGCCTTTTTATGATTGCTAATTTACACCACTATTAAACATTTCTTGTAATTTACTTTTAATAATATGTTATGTATGTTTACCCAGGCGTGTGTGCCTTGTTCTTTATTTTTTACCATCAATCTGCCAATGAAATGTAGCCTTCGTGGCTAAATCTGGTTTATTTACATGGTTGTTTTATTATAGTCACATTAATTAATATGCATTGTTCCTTATGAAATAAACAGAGATGTACCGATCCACTTCTTTTGTTTTTACTTCCAATTACAACTGAGGTTTAGTATCAGCCAATTCTGATCTGATACAGAAGAAAATGTTGAATTGACTTAAAACATTTCTTTTTTTTAAAAAACCCCCAGACATAAATGTACTTAATTACAAATTTATTTGATAACTCTGCACTAATAAGGCACACTAAACACACAATGATTTAACGAGTGATTTTGTAAATTATAATAATTTAATGTAAAGTTGGCATTTTTAATGGACATTCAATGCAACTTTTAGAGCAACTTTGCATTAAAAGTGTCATTATTTACCAAAAGACACTTCATGACAACAGTCATAAACATTCATAAATATTTCTTTATGTTCATGACAGTGTTATGTCATATTTATGACAGTGTCATGTCAGTCTTATGCACACCCCTTCAAATAAAGTGTTACCGAATTTTTTTCAATATCGGAGTAGATACAGATATTGCTGTTGGATCGGTGCATCTCTAGAAGTAAACTGAAGTAACATGAAGTAAACTACATTTGATGGAATGATTATTCTCGGGGTTGCTGTCCTCTCTCACCTTCAGCGTGCTCTGCAGGGCCCGCAGCGTGTGCACCTTCTCGTTGATGACCGGGTTCTTGTTGCGCCGGATGAATGACTTCCTGAAGTGGTCCTGCGTGAACGGCTGCTCATGGCCAATCAGAGAAACGCCTCCTTCCTTCAGGTTGTTAAACATCATCCCCATCTCATCCACGGTGCCACCATCTGAAAAAAAAAAGACACATCATATGACATGAAAACATCTAACTTTACATTTGTAATGAACCAACAAAGAAAGTGAAATGACTTGCACTACAAAAACACAAAACCTTACAGAGTGTTTTCGTTGTAGTAAATATCTTAGTACACTTGAAATAAGACAAAAATAATTTGCAAGTAATTTTTCAACAAGTTATATTAGCTTGCTTTTAGTAAGTAATTCCTTAATATTGATGAAAAATTATTGGTTTCATTGGCAGATTATTTCACTTACAACAAAATGTCATATTATAAGTGAAATAATCTGCAATGGAACTGGTACATTTTCATCAATATTAAGAAAGTAGGCTTAAAGCAAGTTCCTACATCTTGTTGGAAAGTTTTGTCTCATTTCAAGTGTACTAGGATATTTGAACTAGACTAAAGTATTCGGTAGGGTTCAGTGTTTTTACAGTGTGAGTGGCGCAGCCCTGTTAGGGCATATTTGTACCTTTGCTGCCCTCTGTTGAAGAAGTCGGTAATGGCGCCTTGTTTATCTTCCCTTTGGGTCGAGGCAGAGTGTTAGACTGAACTTTCTGCTGCACACACAGAAACACACATTAACACCATCAGCAGGTCGAACTGCATCTATTTTTGCTGCTTTGACTCTTTTTAATTCATCAACCTTGTTTTTCCTGCGAGATGAAGGAGACGATTCGCTCTCCGATTCAGTTTCGCTGTAGCATTCTGTGAAAACATCAAAAGGCTGTTGAAATAATGACATTACCTTAAGTGTTCGCTGTTTTCCCATTATTGTTATCAACCAGCTGCCTGGCAACCACAGCAACAGCAATTAGGCTTCTTTCACTGTTAACCGTTAACATTTCATAATTCAGAAACACGATTATGTGTTTTCCCACTGGTGCTGACACTGCAGCCTCAACAAGCATTACAGCTACAGACAACAAACACTTAGAAAACGGAATAAAACATATTTTTGCTTAGAAAAGTAAATGGAAAAGTGTTGAGCTACCTTCTTCATTATCTGGACCTTTCTGGAGCCTCTTGTGCTTCTGTATGGCTATAATCAGACTGTTGATCCACCTGAAGAAAAATAAATATTATTATATCTAAGTTACGGTGCACTGGAGAAATATTCACACCCCCTTAACATTCGTCATGCTGCAGCCTTAAACATCAGTGGATTTTATTGAGATTTTATTTAACAAACCAACACAATGATGAACTTGATAGTGATGTGGAAGGAAAATAGTCTGTGCTTTTATATAATTTAACAAAAAATCTGAAAACTGTGTTGTGCATTTGTATTCAGTGAATGTGATGACAGGATAATTAGCTTTACAAATCTGGCCCCAAATACATGTGAAAAAGTGCAAAAAAAAAAAAAATCTTTTAATTTCACAGTTATGAGCCACTTTGTTTGTTTGGTCTGTAGCGAAGACATACAATCTCATTAAATACAGTGAATCAGCTGATTGTAACATTACAAAATGGCCAAAACAGCAGATATTAATACTTTTGCAAGGCACTGTAGGTTGAAATATTAAAAACAATGTTTTATTGTTGCTATGAAATCACACCTGTAGGGGCCGTTAAAAAACTGAAACTGTTTTTGCAGGAGAAAGAGAATCCATTAAGGCCAACAGCAGGGGGCAGTGTGCGTCTGCACCCAAAACAATATGATCAAATGCTGCTGTGAGTGAAAAAAAATAAGCTAATAGAGTGGATGCATGAAATATATTTTATTTTTCTGCTTATTGACATTACCCAATCAATAAACACAAACAAGTAAAAAAGAAAAAGTCATGTTGGATGTTCTGTTTCCAGCTTACTTGCTCAAATCGGTGGCGGAGTCAACGGAGAAGAAGAAGTTCTGAAATTTCTGATGGGTCATTTGGAAAACGCTGCAGAACAAAGATGGAGGGATGAGTCACATGAAACACACAAATCCTAATTATTTTCCTCTGTAAGATGATGAAACATTTCAGTTTGTCCAAAATAACAAAAAGAACCTGAGATTATAAAACTTCGCTTTTATTCTGGAGCCTTAAATGCATAGATCACAAATCCATCAACGTCAAAGGAAAATGTCACAGGTTTGCAATCTGATCCACCATGGAAGGAATACTGACTGTTTTCTCTTGTGCTCTCCACCACCCTCTAAGCTGTAGCTGGATATATTTAGGAGACCCTCAGCTTTTTCATCCTGAAGAAAACACAAAAATCAGATTAACGATATTAAATGTGCCAAAAGCGCATTGTGTTTAAGTTTTTTCTCTCCTACCTGTTGAGTGTTGTACCAGTACAGATTGGGTCCTTGCAGAACAAACCAGAAGCGCTGCCACTTCTGGGTGATGAAGACGCTGCTCTCCTTCCTCTTTTTCCAAAGCCAGCCGTCACAGTCGGGATGAGCCAAATCCCGGCAGGAGACTCGGCGCCGGCTCAGAGCTGTCGACATTCCTGGAAATCCACCACAAATACAACAGAAAAGATGAGTACATTCACCATTAAAGCCCTTAAAAATATTTATTTTCAACTTTAATGTTGCTTTTCATCCATTTTTAAATCTAATAGTAATTCAGTATAATGTCTTCAAAAAGTTATTCTTCTACATCTTTTAATTTGACTTAAATAATCCTTAACTGTTTATTTTGTAGTTAAATGAAGCAATGTTTTAGCACTATTAGTGTTCAGTGCAGAAGTATTCATACTGCTTAAGCTTTTTCATGTCACATAAAAACTACAAACTTCACTAAACTTTATTCAATTTGCAACTGATACACAAGGTGGTGCATAACTTTGAAATGGAAGAAACTTTATACAGTTTTAGTTGTACAATGAAAACGGTTTCTGTGCATTGAGAGGTATGAATACTTTTGTTTTGTGTTTGTTTGCTGTTTGATCCAAAAGTCTTACCTTTCTTAGAGCTCTTCTTGGTTTCCTTATTCGACTGAAAAGAATAATCAGGAATGTTACATGTTTTATCACTAGATCTTTGTCTTTGCTGAAAGTAAAGCGTCCTCTCACCGTGTGCCCCACCATGTCTGGGCAGGAGCTGACGCTGCTTCTTTCTGAGCTAAACTCAAAAGGCGAAGGGCTTCTTGGTGACGGCGACCGGTCTCTCCTCAGATTTGGAGAGAGCCTCGAACCATCCGAACTCTCAGCCACTGTAATAATAATGAGTTGAGTTCACAGTCAATAACTCAAGTTATTACACTTTTTTAGATAATCACTTCAATTCAGTGAGAATTATCAGCAGGGAGGGTCATCCTCATAAGCTTAATATGTAAACAATCCTGATTTTTATTTTTCCTCACATTTCAATGTTTTATACTCATTTCTTATTTATTGTTCTTATTTGTTCATTATTTTTATTGGTTGAGGCATTGCATGATTCCCTTCGCTTTTGGATGCTGTTGAGCTGGAAGGCTTTTCTTTTGTTTTTACTTTTGTACAGTTGTTGTGATGTGTAACCATGGCAACATGGCGTTGTTTATTACAGGAGGAGTTAAAAAGGAGGCTTCTTGGATGGAGAGCAGGGTCAAAGTAGGAAGTTCAAACCGTCTCTGCTCAGCTTTCTAACCATGAGACCAGGCAGGGGTTTAAAGAGGAGTGGCAAAAGCAAATGAGGTGGATTAGCAGAGTTTGTCAACAACTATCATCTCTGCTGCTGTTAGCATGTCATCACAGTCATGAAAAGACAGTCGTACAGCAACAGTCTTCAGTCAGAGGCCAAGACTGACTGCTACTGGAGCTCCTGTATGACCACAGCATCAAAATCCACGACTCTTTGAAGATTTAAATATGAGTTATGATGATATTTAATTTCTGTGTGGCAGGAACTGCACACCTGCAATACTCAGGTGTCTAGTGAAAGTCTTTAAGCAGCAATATATTTATTCTAAATCTTGTTTCTGTAATGCTTTAGTAACCAAAGAACAGATTTGCACTGTTCCATGCCCAGGCTCGTTTGCTAATCACACCATCTTGGTTTCTGGTTTAAAAAAAGCGTTCAGACACAAAACTGAGCTCAGGTGACACTGTTCCTTCGTTTTGATTGGCTACATCCTGCAGAGTATTAGAAATGCCACCAACTATTGTTGGAATATATTTTGTGGTGAAGATGATTCATCCCAACTTATTGCTGAAAATACAATAATTAAAAATAAATCACCAACATACTGAGGGATTTCTTAAATACCTGACGCCGGCAGAGGAGACAACCGGCCCGGACGGTTCTGAAATGCAGCTAAAGTCACGGTCCTCTCCTGCTCCCTGTCAGAAGGCAACTCAGACTCTTCCTGTCCCATAGGCTGCTGTCGAACCTCTGGCCCATGAACGGCCCGCCTGCAGCACAACACAAACAAGAAGCATTCTTAGAAACCAGGCAGGGATTCTGGGAACTTCTAAGAAGTTAAGATTTTTCCAAAAACAAACAAGAAGTAATAATAGTGGGTACCATGTGATGACAGCTGTCAGGAGAACAGACCGCAGTCGTCATTTAAGTCAGGTGTCATGTGATCCTGATTTAACACTGATTGAAGGAAGCTGTGTTTAAACAGACACTGATGCAAAGCCAAACTTCTTCTGCAGAGATCAGATCTGACTTTACACGCCTGTAGTCTGAAATGTGGGTCTGCAGTGCATCACCTCTCACTCCCATCGTTTATCTCCCTGCGCTCCCTCAGCCATCATTTCTCATGTTTGCTTCTTCTCACTTTTTCCTACAATTTTTCTTCTTTCGATTTTTCGTCACCGTTCTGAAACTCACTCAGATGCTGGTCGGCAGCTTCATCTATTATTTCGCTCCCGTTTCCAGCGAAAGTCGGCTTGTCGGTGGGCTTGGTGGAATTTATGGCATTTGTGAAGTGACGTCACGTTAAACCCTTTGGGTTCAGGCAGATTAAAAAGGTCAGCAGAGGATGTGGGAGGTTCTGTTCAACTCAGTAAATCTGTGATCATTTGGTGAACAAACCTGGTTGTCTGGATGTGGAAATGAAATAAGATTTATGTCATCTCCCACAGATTCATTTGTTTTTTTTTCTTGTATTTTGTTTTAGCAACAAGTGTTTATAAAATCCCTCACAGATTTAAGAGGTTTTATGTTTTTTTGACTCACTTAAACATGTCAGACTGTTAAACAGGTTTTTATATTAGACAAAATGACCTACGGAAGCACAAAAGCCAGTTTTCTGGCTTATTTGTATCGTTGCCAGGATTTTACGCTTGAGCTGCAGATCTCACAGCTTTCCCAGTTACCAGGGACTTCCTGGCTGCTTCTCTGATTGATACTCTCAGATTTAGCTGGATTGCCATGTCTCGGCACTTTCCAATTTCAGATGATGGATTAAAAAGAGCTCTGTGAGGTGTTCAAGGGTTTAAACTTCTGATTTAAACTTCTCCTGAACTTACTGATGGGTTTGTTGGTCTTCATGATACGGTTTGTTCTTCTGAGAAACCTTTGAGGCTTCACAGATTGGTTGGATTTATTCAACTATGCATAGGTGATTTCTTGGTTTCATGAGTGTCAAACTCATTTTCATGTTCTCCAGGGCTGGTTGTGCCAGAATGTATTGATAAAACCCACTAACAAACTCTTAAAATATTTTTAAACAGCTGATTCTACATCTGATAAGTACATCATAAAACCTTTCTCATTGATCAGTCCATCCAGGATTTCGTGATTTTTTTGCAATCAAAATCTCTGATTTTGTGCTGCTAATGTGGGAATATTTGCAAAGAATTGGATAATATTTAATATGACGTTCAATGCGACTTTTTGTTACTTCTCATATTGATCTTGAATTATAACTTTACATCAAGTTACCCTGAGACAGCTGTGTTGTAAAAATATGAAATATCGCCACCTGCAGGTGTGAATTGGCATCAATTAAACTCAATAATTTTTACCATTTTTGCAGAAAATTTTAAACTCACGGTTTAAATTTATGCTGACTTTGCATAATATTCTGCAATTATGGAATCATGAAAAACTGAAGTTTGAACTGATTGCAGAAATTTGGCATCTTGAGTCCAGAGGGCCACTAAAAGAGTTGTGGCGGCCAGATTTGGCCCCTGAGCCTTGAGTTTGACATGCTGAAGGGTTGCACTGGATCTTATTCAGGGTTATCAGGTCAGAGTGTAGAGAGGTTGAAAAAAATTCAAGCCAAACCTTCAGCCATTTATGCTAACATTTGGTGCGGATCTTTTGCATAAAACACGTATAAAACCCATGGTACTGTGTTGCTGACATGGCAGCAAGTGAAACAGTGAATGTGTGTGAATATTTTTACAGAGTAATTTGTTATTAATAATCTTACCTAAATGACAGGGATCTGACAGAAGCTGCTACTCTCTCAAATATGGAGTGCCTCTGATTCTCCTCTTTGTCCTCCGGTTCTTCTTCGTCCGAACTCCCTCGTCTCTCCTCTTCCTCCTTCTACAAACAAATGAGACCAAATCCAAACATGTGAGTGTGCACATTAAAGCCTGTGTGCTTCTACGGGTTAGCACAGGGTTAAGAAACCGGATGTCATGTGGACTGCGATGGCAGGTTCTGTCTGCACACACTGCGGTCGAGCAGATGAGGGAGGAACACGGTCACACAAACACAAAGTCTGTGAAAGTCTCGCTGAAAGCCAAGCGTCGTCTCGGGGCAATATGGGCTGAAACACGGAGCCGATTCACATCTTTCTCTCAGCCTGAGCCGCCAGCTAGATCCCAGATTATCATGGCGATGGTCACAAGGGGGTGTGAAGTGCACAGTGTGTGCGCGTGAACTTGTTCACTGATGCAGCGTTTCACTGTGGTGATCATAAACAAACAACAGTCGACATGGTGACGGGTTTAAGTGTTGGTGGAAACGGATCCCGAGTGGTGACGAGATTTTTTCCAAAGATGTGTCTCACAAGTGGAATACTAGAGCTGCAAAATATCAGCAGAAAAATAAATATGTCCTTAAATATGCAACGTCTGGTTTGGGTTTGATGCATATCAATATTAGATATGCACTGAGTTACATTACAGATCTGCTGCTGCATCAACCTTCAGACCTCTCAGGTCTTCTGGTTCTGGTCTGCGTCCCCAGAACCAGAGTCAAATGTGAAGAAGCAACATTCAGCTTCTATGCACCACAAATCTGGAACAAACTTCCAGAAAACTGCAAAACAGCCGAAACACTGAGAGTCTTTAAATCTAGACTAAAACCCAGTTGCTTTTGAAACATAATCACTGAAACATTAATCGATATTTTGATGTGTATCGACGGCAAAATGTAATGTTAACTGTGTGTTTTTATGACGTAAAGCATATTGAACTGCCTTGCTGCTGAAATATGCTAGACAAATAAAATTTGAACTTGAACCTGGTGTGAAGCTTTGAGTGGAGAAGGTGGCTAACCTGCACAGGTGTGATCTGGATCGAATGCTTGCGCCGCAGCGAACCCGGGATCCTCTTTATGATCAGAGTCACTCCACTGGGATTCTCCCGCAGCTTCTCAATAAGTTTGGCTCTGCTCCAACCGACCTGATGCAGCAGCACAGATTATTCCCTCCTGAAGGTTTTTCTCTTTGAGCACAGGTCCAACATAAGTACAGGCGTATGGATCAAACTCCATGTGCTGCATCACTCACCACTATCTGGTCGTTGACTTGGATCACTTCATCACCAGACAGGACTTGCAAATAGGCATCAGAGGAAGGCTGCAAAAGGAGGAACAAGCAGCGTAAACAAGGAGCTGCTGCAACACAAAACCAGCTAAATGTAGCACAGAACAATCCCAACAACGCTATAAATCAATATCTGACAGCATTCATATTCCCAGCTTGGATTTATTACGCAACATTTAAAATGAGCAGTAATGTTTACAAATGCTACGCAGCAAGTGCCTGCAGGTTGTAGAGTCTACAGCAGACAGACGAGCCTTTGGCTGAAAATAATGTGTCATGCCTCGCTGTCTTTAACAGAGCAGAGGAAACTGTGCTGTCACTTTGCCGTTTTTTTGTTTTTATCGTCACCGAGGCCAGAGAATGAAAAGTGTTGTTGTTAATTTTCACTTTTCATAGCAAAAATGACAAGTGTTTGGCAAAACAACGACTAACCAAACACTAGCAGAAAAAAGAACAAAAGTGTTCTTTTGATGCAAAACTGAGTAACAGACTGGATTGCAGACATTGCTCGTTATCGTCTTCTTCTCTAACATTGGTGGCTTTTTTAGCAAGGCACTGATATAGGCAGCTGGGTAGTTCAATGTGGGGAAGACCCCTCTGGACGCATCTTTAGCTGCAGTTAACCCCACTGGCTCAGAGGTCAGGAGGACCACAGAGTCACACACAGCAGCATCAACGTCCAAATGGGAGGAAAAGCAAATGCGTGAACCTGACCTCAGCAGCCGTTCCCGTCACGTAGTGGTTGCTGGAGCTGGTGGATGTTATCTCGATCCCCTGAGAGAAATGGAAACAATAAAAATGCTGTGCATAATTCAGAAAGATAAAATAACTTGTGCGTCTGCACAGTGTGAATCTGCACAAGCAGCTTGGACAGAAGCAACACAACCATGATGCTGCTGTTATAATTGGATTCTGTGGAAATATCGATGTTTGTTCATCAGCTTGTCGTCACTAATCACAAGTTAAATTACACAATCAATACATATCTAATGGTGATGGAAATATCAATGGATAAAAACTGTTTCATTCCTGTATTTACAATATTCTGATAAAAAAGGTAGTACTTAATATATACTTCTGTTATTTTTTCCACATTTTGTAATAATCTTTAACGTGTGACTAGGATGGGTTTGAACTTTAAGTTTCATTTGTGTTTCTGTTTTGGATCATTTCTTTGGATCTTGCCATGTTTGGTTTTTACTTTGTGTTTGATCATTTATTCATTTAACATTTGTGTCTTTGGACTTGTTTCTTTAGGTTAGATTCCCTCCTGTTTTGTAGTTCCCTCCCTTTGTTTAGTTCTTTGTTCCTTTAGTTTTCTGCGCTGCTCCTCTTCCTCCGCTGTTTTCCGTTCTCCATTGATTCGTTTTCTTTGTTGCTTGGTCAGTTACTCCTCTTCCTCAGTACATAAACTGGTCTATCCTCATAGCTTTATAAAACACAGAACTTTAATGGATTTTATGAGGATTTTATGCAACATATCAACAGAAAATGTATTAAAAAACAAATACTACATGACCCCAGAATGATTGTGATGTATATTGAGTAATCTATCAAACATAAATTAACTCATCAAAATGCAATTTATGGAGGTTTGTTTTAGTGCTGGGCAACAACTCAATAACTAATTAAGGAATAAGACATGTTAATAGTAATGAAAAAGGAATTAGAGTTTATTAGGACAGGTAATACAGCTGAGACCTGACAGGCAGTATGTGGTGTCTCCAATGTTTAAGCGTCTTTACAAGATGGAGAGGAGATTACAAACATGGACGTGAAATTAGATTTGCATTATCTTCTGGCTGCTACCAAGCAAGCTCTCACTTTTAAACAGAAGCGCAAATAAGATTTATATGTTAATATGTTGCTGATTAGGAAAAGTGTCATTATTAATCCATAAAGTCCTGCAAATGTAATGGCTTTCAGTGTTAGTTTATAAGAAATAAATACTATTATTATGTATTTTAATTTGTTTTTTAAGCTTATATTGAAACAGATAATAGATTTTTAATTAAAAAATGTTGCAGATATTAGGATAGATTTCCTTGTCAGTTAATGTTTTCTAGAATAACATTAAGTCAAATATTTCCAAGGTTAAAACTTTGTGACAAACACACACGAGTGAATCGTTACGTCCAGAAAATTAAGCACTAACTTTAGAACTTACTGACATAATTTTATTGTTTTTCTTTATTTTAACTCAAAATTTCTACAACTATATTTACACAAAATTTGAAAAAGATTCAGTGCTTTTAATTTTTATATTTACATTATGTCAGAGACACGTCACATTTGGTAAACCCCCTTGGTAAGAACCATAATGCCTTCTGCTTCTCACTTCCTTTCTCCCTGCCTTTAGTTCCCATTACTCTTAAGCTGTCAGAGCACCGACTTCATTATCGGTGATGTGCTCTAATCAATTACCTGCTGTCAGCGTAATTAACAAACTGTCCCCTCTAGCTAAGTGCATTTGTAAAAGTCCTCTTTTGGTGGAGCAGTGGATCAGCAGAAAAATGAGCTTAGCATTCAGAAGCATGGCTGCGTTCATGGACATGTAAACAATATGCAGGCACAACATCAGAGGTGGCGTAATGTAGAAAAAATAATGTGATGGGAAAATGCAGCCAGCATCTAATAAGACTTTTTAGTTAATGGTTTGAGTCCACAAAGGCAAAGAAAGAGGGAAATGCATGAAAGAAACAGCTCTTTAGAAATGAATCCTAAAAGGATTCTAGATTAGTGGGATAACCAGCACAGAGGAACAGAGGAGAGCTGTGAGTACTGAAGCAAATGTGCAGACTTCATGGCAAAACAGGACATGCAGCACAAAAAGAACATTGTGCTTTAGCCACCAAACATCAGGGAAGCTTTTAGGAACAGAAGTAAAAGTGGTGAAGAACGTTGAGCTGGATGAAGGAACCAAATGAGGAAACCCCCCAGCAGAGGGTTAAAAATAAGCTTTAAACATGTTAGTGTTTAAAAAAACAGTAGAGAAAAAAGAGTAATATGAGGGTGAGCAAACTGATAAGCTTGGTGAAGTTTAAAAAAATGGATGTGAAGGTCAAGAAAAGTAAAGAAAAAAGAAGGAATATTGAAATGTAAATATTTTTACATTGATTTTGTGTGAATTTTAACTGAATGAAGAAGGAAACACTTCAGTTTATTACATGGCAGATAAACTCTGATTTAGACAGTTTTTACTAAATATCAATATGGGTGGGATGAAATTAAAAAAAATCAAATAATTAATTAAATCATTTGTAATTTATTAATCACAATCAATTCTATTCTAATCAAATAGCGGTTAGCAAAGTTTATCCATTCCGATTTTCATTTTTGACTGAATCAATAAATAGAATGTGTATTAGGATGATATATAAATATTTCCAGCTCACTTTAGTGTAAACTAGAATATTGACTAAACATTTATAGATGACAATATTTGAAATATTAAAGAAAGTGTTTGTGTTTTTACAGTCACTAAACTTTTGTGGAAATATGAATTTTAAATCCTGTACATGAATCTGTTCTTCTCTATGGCTCAACACAGCATAATTAACTAACAAAGTAAAAATATTAAAAATATGAAGAAAACTTTCTGAATTTAAATCTTGCTGGCATTTCAAAACTGACATGTTCAGCTTTTTTTATTCTGAATCTTCTCAGAATGTCTCATTCTGGGTTTGGGACTATGTAGCAATAATAAACATTTAGCTTTTACTATCCAGCACCAAACACACGACTTTATGTGATTCATCTCATATTAGCTTATTTAAACACTAGTTCAGTTAGCATGTGGGCTTCACTTTTCACATTTCTTCTTAACGTGTTAATTGAAAGCATACATTGAAGTCTTAGCCTTAATAAAAACTAAAAATAAAACAAAACAGGGCAAACTCACGAGAGCTCATTGTGCCTGACACAGATTTAACTTGGAATAAAACCTTTTTTACATTCATGAAGGTTATAAGGAAGGAGAAGGTAAAAAACCGTTACCAGTTGATCACTGGGTGTAGCAGGTACCAGGCTGACGCTCTCCAGCTGAGCCGTGTGGGTCAAAAGAGCGTCGGAGCTGGAGTTCAGGATCTCATCACAAACCTCCACCAACTGACGGCACTAAAACGGGAAAAACCTTCACTTACTGGGAGGAGACACCGGTTCACACAGCTAACAATACCTCACTTAAAGCACAGTGAAGCAAAAGTTTCATCTGCTGAAATTATGAATGAGCAAAATGTGAGACAAACTCACAACAGATATGATGTCCTTCTCCTTTTCGTAGACCGTGGAATCCTGTTGAAGAGTGAAACGGCAGGATTTGAGCAGAGGAGTCGCAAAATTACACATCAGTCTAAATGCTAACCACATTGATTTGTGGAAATGGGACAAACTGAGTCAAAGCCCATGTCCCATTTCCTCTTCACAGCTTGAGTCAGGAAGCAAAAAGCCACAAACAGTTGAAAGCTGTCTGATGAGGTCAATAGTAACGATTCATATATCCAATCATGTTTCTGACTCTGCAGCTTCTTGCAGTTTGTCATGTTGCAAACGTATACAGCAATGTATCTTTAAACTTTTTATTAGATGGACCAAAGCAAAAGAGGGCAAACTGGTGCAGTGGGAGGAAACTGACACATTGATACAGATAAAATAAAAAAAATGGGGGAATGCATTTGTAATCTGACACCCATGAAAACTTGAATGAAACAAACGGACCACTCTTCCTCACTACTTTTCTTCTTCTACTACTCTCTAAGTTGCGTTATTTGCTGTTATTTCAGCTGTTAACTTTATGTTTTCTCTCAGTTTTTTCTCTCACTACATCTGGTCTGATGTTCTGTTGGCTGGGATTCTTTCCTGGAGGAGATGATGAAACACCAACAAAAAACTAACTTACAAGTAAAATTTCAGCAAGTTATAGGAGCTTGTTTCAAGTAATATTGAGAAAAAATGTATTAGATCCACTGGCAGATATTTTCACTTATAAAATGGTAAAAATGTCTTGCTATAAGTGAAATAATCTTTCAGGGAAATTAATTCTTTTTTATCTGAAAAGTTGCTTGTAGTTAGTTTTGTCTTATTTAGAGTGTGCAAAGATATTTTCTCAAGAAACTTCCCTTTCCAACAGGACAACAACTTTAAAAATACAAGCAGAGACATTATGGAATGATTTGGATTAAAGCATATTCACATGTTAGAATGGCCTAGTCAAAGTCCAAATGTACATCCAACTGAAGATCTGTGCCTGATGTTCATGGACTCTTTACATCAGATTTGATGATCCTGAGTTGTTTTCCAAAGAACGGGTTAAGTTTTCTCTTTCTAGATGTGCAAAGCAGCCAGAAACAAACTCCCAAAAACTCACAGTTGAGTGACAGATGGTTTAATGAATGCTCAGATTTTTATCTGTAAATTTTTTTGAAAATGAATCACTTTGCTTCCACTTCACAGTTATGAACTGCATTTTTGGCCTATCACAAAAAAAATAAAAATAAAAAATTATGAATTCTGTGGAAAGTGACAAAACGTGGAAAAGTTCAAGTCGTATGAATATTTCTGGAGGCAATAAAAGGTGAAGCTTTTACTGGAGCCTAGCAGCTTATGATTATTAATACATAGGGGAATAGTTTCGTTAGAACCAGTCAAACGGATAAGAAATGCTCAACAGCAATGCAATTTATTTACAATCAGTGAATCATTTTTTAAGGAGAATTGAAAATTCAGAAAAGTTCTTGTACTAAACTGCAAAGAAATTCAATAAAATCAGCATCAGACCAAAGATGGAGCATCCCTGAATTTACAGGATGACCTCAAAACCCATAGATCATCACACACACACACACACACACACACACACACACACACACACACACACACACACACACACACACACTTACACACACAAAGAATTGTTGTGCTTCA